GGCTCTTCCTGCTGGCCCCTTCTCACCTCCCCGGGCCCGTGTGTCCTCCTGCGATGCTCTGCTCCCCCATGCCCTGGCTGCAGGCTGGAGAGACCCGGTCCCCAGCCTGCCCTCTGCCTCCCTTTGCCCTCATCGGCTCCCAGCCCTCCGACATCCCTGGAGCCCCTTCTCCAAGCATGGTGTGGGCCGTGCCCTTCGTTGGCATGTGGCTTGACTCAAGCCCCCCCAGCCCAGAGGCCTGGGCTACAGCTGCCCTGAGGGGGAATATCTCGCTCTCTCCCTAGCCCCGAGCAGGAGGCGTCTGCTGCAGGGGAGACTCAGTGCTGGGCATGCACCGCAACGGGCACGGCTTGCCTGGGGGGCACCACGCACGACCCCCTCCCTCCGCGGCGCACCCCAAAGACACGAGGCAGCGCGGGCATTGGCAGACTGGCATGTTGAGAGCGGACCGTACAGCGCGATCGCGTCCGCAGCGCCGACGCGGGCAGACCAGCGTGCTCCTGCCCCGCCGGCGTCCACCGCACCAGGGGCCTGATCCTGGGAGCACACCAGCCCTGCCCCGCTGGCCGCCCCAGCACCACCCCTCCCGCCCTGGCCTCCCACCCCAGCCGGGCTCCTGCGTGGAGGGTGGGGGGCTGCACCCACGGAGGGGCCGAGGCTCCATCCCCAGCTGGCAGCACCAGGGCCCAGCTCTGCAGCATGGACCAGGAGAGCTACGGCTGCCACAAGCGTGCAGAGCCGACACGCATGCACGCACAGAGCCGTCACACACATGCACGGGCACATCTAGGTGGAGCCCTCAGATGCATACATGTGCACATGCAACCAATGCACGCACTCACGCAGGCACAAGCGCGTGGGGGCTTTTCTCACGTACACACATGTGCGCCGGCACACACAGGACTGCCACCCCTGTGCAAGCATACGTGACACCACTGCACACGCACACAGAGAACCGTCACACACCTGCGTGCACGCATGATGCCATCACACGTGCACACGTGCACGAAGCCGATGTGCACATAGAGGGCACCATCACACACGTGCACACAGGCAGACACAGAGCCGCCGCCACCATCATGTGTATGCATGCACACAGAGCCATCGCACACATGAACAGAGCTGTCACTCATGCATGCCAAGCCACGTTGCACGTGTCAGCAGAGCCATCACACACAAAGGCATGCCCAGAGCCATCGTGTATGCTCGCGCACATGTGCACACGCAGCCGCTGGGCGCACACATGCCCACAGCCATCACGCACACGCATGCCCAGAGACATCCCATGTGCACACAGACCCATCATGCACACACACACACCTGCAGGCCTTGCACGCGGGCGCAGCCAGCCCTGTGCTGTGCCGGGGGCCTCGAGCTCAGGACACCGACTCCCCGTGGGACATGGAGGGAGAGGGAGCACAGCCAGGGCCCTTCTCTCCTGAGCCTGAGACAATCCAGGGGACCTTTCTGCCCCCGGGCCCGAATGCAAGTGCAAAGCACCTCCCGCGCTCCCTGGCCCCAATCCTGCTGCAGACAGGGCTGGGCTTGCCGTGACATGGCCCTGGCAGGGAATGCATGTGTGCACACGTGTGCCCTAGCCCCAGGCAAGGCAGGTGGGAGCTCGGGGGCCTGGTGTCCCCTTACCGAGGTGCCCTGGGAGTCTCCATCCCTGCCAAGCCCCACTCAGCTCCCCCCTCCCTGCAGGGCCTTTCCCCAGCTACTGCAGCCCCGTCGGCAGAGACACCCATGAAACACCAGTGCCCGTCCCCAGCCGCTGGCAGAGGCAGGGGCCAAGCGCCAGGCATTGGTGCCACGCGGGCCTGGCCCCGAGCTGCAAAGGGAAGGCAAGGCAGGTTAGTGCCGGGCGAGGCTCCATCCCGCGCTGCGGCCGGCTGCAAGGAATGGGAAACAGTTAGTAGGGTCCTTGCGGAGGGCGAGAGGGAGGCCAAGCTGCCCGCTTTCTGCCCCCTGCCCCAGCTCCACGCTCCCCCCGTGCCTGCTGCTGTGGTGGGTGCACGGGTGCACCCGGGCTCAGCCCTGCGTCGTGGCTGCAACCCAGTGACCCCCATCGCAGGACCTCAGCAAGGCCCGATGTTAGTAGCATCACGACGGCGTTAGGCAACGACCGCTACGTGCCCCAGCACCGTGAGCCCCCCACAAAGGGTTAGTCCTCTCCTGCCGGCACGTGCAGTCCTTCCACATGCATCACGGCCACGGGGACCAGCTGCGGAGAGGTCAGCAGCGCAGCGTGCCCTCGGCAAGGGGACCTGTTCCCGATGACAGGTGAATCCTCTTTTGTCCTTCCCTTATTAACTTGATTTAAAAGCACGAGCCCAGCGGCCTCACGCTTAAAAACCCCGAGCCTCTCCAGGGGAGCTCGGGCGGTCCGGTGGCACCGAGCACCAGGCCGGCGGGGACGGTTCACCGGTCATGGGGAGCGGTGCCGGGAAGTCGAGGTGCAAAGAAGAGCGGTTAGTAGCGAAAGGAGCGCGGCCGCAGAGGTTAGCGCAGGCGGTTAGTAGAGAGAAGCAGGGCACAGCGCGCGCGCTGGAAGAGAAACGGAGAGAAAAGCAGCACAGGTTAGTCCGTTGAGCTCCAGGGAGAGACGTGTTAGTGGCAGCAGAGAGGGCCGGGGGCTTAAAAAGGAACTGAAAAGCTTCTGCGCCTCTGACGCCCCGCTCGGCCACAGAATCGCCCACGCGTGCCCGCTGGCCGACAGCCCTGGACACCCCCGGGCTGCAGCTCCCCGCGACGCGGCAGGGCCTGGCGCGCTCGCGGCGAGTCTGTGGGCGACGGGGCAGCTCCGGGCCTCCTTGGCCAACGTACTTACCCACGCTTTTCCGCTCCCCTTTAAAGGCCACGTGCGCGGTCCCCGGTTAGTAGGAGGGCAAACGAGACGGGTTAGTAGGGCATGCGTTAGAGCCGGTTAGTTGGTTAGTTCACCCCAGCGGCGGGGGCAGCGTCGCAGTGGGGAAGATGCCGGGTTAGTGGGTTAATAACGGGGCACGCATGCACCGCAGGCCCCGGGCCGGCACCGCAGCTCTCCTGCTGCTGGAGAAGATGCCGGTCCAGGCTGGGGAAGCCGTATGCAGCATCACGCCGTATGCAGCACGCCAAGCCCCCCGCGCTGCCCAGGCCTGGACAAGCTCCCGGCATCTGGATCCCACCCAGCTCCCCCGCCTTTCAGAGCCCGAAGCCCGGGCAGGGAGGAGCAGGGCACATCGGGGCTGGGCAGGGGTAGGCACCGCGTGCCCCTTACCCCGGGGTGGGTGAGGAGCAGGCACACGGCACGCACCTCCTCCAAAGGGACTGGGGGCAAACGGGCTGGAGACGCTGCGCGGTTGGTCCCATCATGGGTCCAGGGGAAACCTCTGCTCAGTGCCACGCTGCAGGGTTTGACCGCACTCGCTGCTGATGCTACCGTGTCTGATGCCAGCAGGGCCCCCCCAGCCATGAACGTGCAGCCGCCCCCTGCAACGCAGCCTCCGCACCCGGGACGGGGCAGCGGGTAGCAGCATCAGGCCTGAGCAGCAGGCTGGGGCTGTCTGCACCCCGGCACTGAGGTTGGGGAGCATCCCCACGCCTTGCCCCAGGCACCGGAGATCGGAGCACGGCTCCTTGGGGTGGCTTGGTGCTTCTTGGAGGAGCCTCCATCAATGCCACCTACCCCCAGCTCCCTGCAGCCCTGTCCCCAGCACCTGGCCAGCCGTGGGGGAGCCAGGAGGGGCTAGTGCATGGGCGACAGGTCCCCCCTTGTGCGGCCCAGCGTTGCACCCACCGGCAACGGCTGCAGCACAGCGGGGGATCGGGTAGCGGCACCAAGGGAGGTGTCAGGCAGGCAGGAGCAGCTGTGGCACCCCACGGTTTCCCCGGTTCACTGACCACGCAAAGGGAGGGTACCAGCATCCTCCCTCTGCTCACTGCCATGGCCCTAGTATGGGAGTCCCCGGCCACGCACTTGGGGCGCCCTCCGGCTCTCCCAGCTCCAGCACGGATGTGCCAGGGCGTCCAGGAGCCGCGCGCCTTCCTGGGCGGGCGCCTTGCTGCCAGCTGCCCGGCTCCGGGGTCAGGGTGGAGAGCAGAGGCCGGCAGAGCCCTGTCCTGGCGTGCACCGGCTTTCCTCCGCTCCCGCGGCGCTGCCTCCGCTCGGCGTGTCCTGGCTCAGCCCTGCAAAGAGGCAGGCGAGAGGCGTCAGAGCCCAGCGCCCAACTGTGCCCCGAGACGGTCACTTCCTAAGCCCCAAATGCCAGAGGCTGCACGGGAGGGAGGCGCACCCCGGTCAGATGCAGCTCGCTCCCTTCCAGCCCCGTGTGACGCCGGAGATGGGGCAACACCGACCGAGGGGCTCGCCCAGGCCATGGCAATGCTTAAGAGCCAGGCATGAGCGGTGCCCAGGCCTCCCCGGGCCCCAGCACCCCTCCTGCAGCTCCTACCTGGGCCCGTGAGCACCGGTGACCCCCGTCCTGCCCTGCTCCGCACGGGGACTGCGTGTGAACAGACCTCAGGTCAGTCATTAGCAGCTGCAAAAGAAAGCAACCAACACAGCAAGAGAGAACAGCACGCCACTCCTTCCTCCGGCACAGTGCCCAGGCGGGCAGCTCTTCCCACCCCTGCCCGAGCCTCCCCACGCGGCACCTTGCCTGGCCGGACACCATCAAACCCCCCTTAGCCCAGTCCTGGGCCGTCTTGTGTGGGCACGGGCATTTCTCATGAGCAGCGTGAGGGTGGCCAAGGGAGTCGATGTTTTGGATGCACGCCCTTGTGTGCACACACGCGTGTGCATGCATGTGCGAAGGAGGGAGGGCGAGCGGGGTGGGGCAGCAGCCCGCCTGGCCGATGGC